ACACACACACACACACACACACACACACACACACACACACACACACATGAATTTCTATATCCACAGATCACAAAAAGATGGTTTTCTATGAAACAATCTCTATTACATTGTTTGCTTTTTAAAGAAAGTAAATAATGATTGTCTTACTGGTCTAGGCTTCATTTGGAACTTTTCTGTTCTCTGTGCATCTAAAAAAGTATTTCACTGGCCCTCTTCTTTGGTGTCACTGTCGCTCAGTTTCTTCATCTTTCCAATGAGTAGACTGGACTGAATGACTTTTTAAGGCTCATCTTAGCTCTAAAACATACGTTCTCTTTCAGTGGGCCCAGGTAATTGAGCACATGTCTCCTTCTGGGAAAATAGGCAGCAATAATGAAAAACCAAAACTTTGCTTTGGATAAATCTCTGACTCCTTCCCTCATTCCTTTCTCTTCCATCTTTATTTTCCCTTAACTCAAAAAGAGTTAAAACTTACTGGCTCTAGACCCTCATCTCCAGTCGCCTGCCAGCCTCAAGAGTCCCTCACACACATATCTAAAACCAAGATAATTAATTATCCTCCCCACAAACCCACTCTGACTCCTGACTTCATTATTTCTGTCTGTGGCACCACCATTCCCTTCATCCCCATGTACGTGACTTTGAACATCCTTTTGACTCTTCCCTCTTTCTCCCCTCCGTGCAGTGAATCATTAGACCCTGACCATTTTTGCACGACAACACCTTTTCTATCTGTCCCTTCCTCGCCATGCCCACTGCCGCCACCCTATGACCAGGCTTCATTCCCACCCGGGGCAGATGGGCTACCGCAGCACTCTCTCATAAGATTCCTACATGCACTCTTCACACTCACACGGTTTCCGGATCAAGCTTCTTCATGCATGAGTTTGTCCGTCTATACTTTGGCTCAAAAGTCCTCGTTGGATAGGGTTTCTCCAGCTCCCCGTGGCAATAACTTCGCTTTTTCCTTCCCGTCCTTGAAGTGTCTAGCACAAGGCTGGGCACATAAGAGATGCTCTATAAAGACTTGATTTCTATGAACCGGCGTATGCATAAATGAATGGAGGGATGAAGCTGAGTCCAGGCTCCCTCATTCTTCAGCTCTCTTGCTTCTCCATTTCAGGTGCTTATCAGGGTGACCCCCTCTGCTGCCATATTTTCAGGAAGGCTGGAGAAGTGTTGGCCAAACATATACTGGCTGTGTTGCCCAAGATCCACCCGGTAAGTGGAGGTGGGGCATGGGGAAGCTAGGCACTGTAGGGAAGGCAATAGATGAGCAAAGAAAACCCATCTTCATAGTTGCTGAAAATGAGGCTTACTCTGACTCTCTTTTCATTTCTCTTTCTCTTACCTCTATTTATTCTAGCTCCTTGTCCCCACTCACTCACATCTCTGTCCTTCCTTCACTTGACCTGAGTTTGTTTCTTCAAGAGACAGCATAGTGTAGTAGATAGAAGGCTGGCCTTGGAGTCAGGAAGCCTAGGGTTTGGGTCCTGACTCACATAATGGCTGGGTGGCCCTGGGTAGGTTGCCTCCCCTATTGAGATCCTCAGGCAACTTTCTAATTCACTACAATTCAACAAGAGTTTATTATATCGAGGCACTATGCAAAAAAAGAAAGAAACAAAACCATGCCTGCCCTCAAGGAGCTTACATTGTATGGGAGAAACACCACATGTGCTTGGCAGTGTCTGGCGCTATTAAGAAGTGCTTAATAAGTGTGTTATGTATCTACGCAGATAAGTAAATACAAAATAGTGAGTTGGGGGGAGGTACAAGTACATTGGGGATCAGGAAATGCCCTTGAAGGACACTAGGCATTGTCACATGGGGGGTGAGAAGGGAGTGCATTACAGGTATGGGAGAATGGCCTATGATAAACTATTGTGTAAGGAGAACAGCACGTACCCCATTTGGGCTAAAAACAGACTGTTCATGCATGGGAACCGCCGATCTCCATCAACACACACACACACACACACACACACACACACACACCCGCCCCCCCCAGAGGATGGCCTGAGAATCAGTATGCTTTGCAAAGGGGAGTGGCACAGTGCGGCAGAGACTGAGTATGGAGCCGGTGGCCTCAAGTCAGACTCCTAGCTCTGCCCCTTGATAGCTCCTATGGGACCTTCTCCACCTTGGCCAAGACACTTTTGGTCTGGACCTCTGTTTACTCAAATATAAAATGAAGGTATTGGACTAAATGATCTCCAAGCCCTGAATTCCTCTGCCCTCCCTTTCCACCACTTCCAACCACTGCAAGGCCCCCTCAGTCTGGGCTCCTTGTGGGAGGAGGGGCAGGCCAGGCTGCCAAGAAGCGCTCCCCCAGAGCAGATGGACAGGTGTGGCCGAGCCCCTGTGCGGCTGAAAGATCCTGAGCTGGCAGCCCTCTCCTTCCCCCTAAGAGCCAGTATTAATAACTCTCTCATCTCCCCTCAGACGCTTTTCCAGGGGCCAGGGGGCCTCCCCATTGTGTGCGTGGGCTCTGTATGGAAAAGCTGGGAGCTGCTGGAAGAAGGTGAGCAGGGACCCGAGGGAGGAGCAGGCAGGGAGGGGTGAGAGAAGTGGGGCAGGGCATTGTCCACAAGGTCACTCACCGCATACTGCTCAAGGACACCTGCCACACTAGAGCTTCTAGACAGCGCCCGGTGCCCAAACCCCTCTCATTCTCCTCTCTCCCATTCTAGCCTTTGTCTCCACCCTGGCCGAGGGAAAGAAGATCCAGAAAGCCTTCTCCAGCTTCACCCTGTTCCAACTGAAGCATTCCTCTGCCCTGGGGGGAGCCAGACTGGGGGCTCAGTTTATTGGGGAGGTGCTTCCCCTGGACTATGACAGCAATGCAGATATTTTCTTTAAACACACCTTCTCTAGTTAGGGCTGGCCTTCCCACCTCAAGGCCAGTCAGTGCACATTAGATGCTGAAAAATTGCAGTGCTTTTATTACTCAATAAAGATAGCTAAATTTTTTTAGTACTTTATATGTCCATCACCTCCCAGTAGCCTTCAGAGGTAGGTCCAAAAACCAACTCACATAATTAGATCCTCAGAAGATGTCGAGTTCAACCCATCCATAAAAAGAGTCCCTCCTACAAGGCAAAGCTGGTGGTTGACCAGCAAGTCAAGCAGGTGCTTGAACCTGCTACCTTTGGAGGCTGCCCATCTCCTTTTTGGACAGCACTAATCGTTTAGTTTTTTTTTTTTTTTTTCCTGATTTCAAACTTAAATTGGCCTTTTTACAACATCTACCCACTGCTCCTAATCGTCCTCTGGGGCCAAATGATACCTCTGGTCTGACCTTGCCATGATCATCCTTCACGTACTCCTATGTAATGGATGCAAGGCCCTTCGCCACTTCGGTGACTTTTCCACGGACGCTCTCCTGCTTAGCAACAGCCTTAAGGTGTGGTTGCCAGGACCGAACACAGTACTCCAGAGGTCGTCTGACTGGGGGGAGTGCAGTGGGACTGGCACCTCCCAACGATGCAGCCTGACGTCCCCATCACCCTGCTGTCCGCTCAGACTCCCAGATCTTTTTCTGAACTGCTGTCAAGCCGTGCTTCCCCAATCTTAAACTGGATGAAGCCGATTCTTGTCCTGAGTGCAAAGCTTTGCATTCATTCCTGTTACGCTTCATCTTATTTGATTAAACCCAACTCTAGCCTTTTCATAGCCTGTCACCCAGTGGGTTAGCTATTCACCAGTAGTGTTACCTGCAAATGTAAGAAACATACTATCTGTGCCTTAATTCATTATATTACTGATGGGGAAACTGAGCCAGGGGTTGAGTGACATGTACAGGGTAAACTAGTGTGTGTCTCAAGCAGGATTCTAATTCAGGTGACTCCCAAATCAAGCACCCTATCTACAATGCCACCTACCACCTGCTTCCGAATCGGTTACATACAAAAGAAAATAAGCTATCTTTCCCTCTGTCTTTAGATGGACAAGTAGCGTTTACTCCACTTTCAGGCCAGGTGCCTTTGTCCCTTCCTTTGTCCAGCTCTAGAAAGATATTGTGCCACCTGTTGGAAAGAGCCTGGAAGTCGCCCCACCTATATTCCCTGCTAGCTTGGCAGCCATTTGAGCCTCAGTTTGCTTATTTGTAAGGGGTCCCTGGTATGCATTTGTGACAGGAGAAAATATCTAGCAAGAGCCAGCGCTCAACCCACGGCGTCCTGGTCACCTCGTGGCACAGTGGAAGTCGTCCTCGTCACTTTGCGGCATAAAGGAAGTCAGCACCCTTTCCTCTTGGCCAGTGTCCCAAGGGTGCACGAGTCACCACCCTGCCCTGCTGACCAGGGAAGGAGGCACCATCTCTGAGCCAAGTGTTCTATCCTCCCCTTTCCATGTTATGGCCAAGTAAACCTCTTGTAAGCAGGCAGATGTTCTCTGAACGTCTCCTTTGATTCCAATCTTAATCCTCAGGCGCCACACCAATGAGGAAAATGATCTATAAACCATAAGCCCACTGCCATCTTTGGCACTGGAGAGTGCCACTGACTTCTTTTCTTAAAATGCTGACATTACTAATTAAATGGCTAATTATCTAGAAACTATGTCTTTCCAGCTTTTATATCTCACTATTCTAAGTGAGGTGTGCCTACTTACACCACAGCTCCCTATGGATAGGGCTGTGGAGAGGATGCAGTTCAGATTTTTATCAAGTCCCTCCTTGGGGCAAGACCCGGATTCAAATTTCACCTCTGACCCTAGTTCCACAACCCTTGGTCTTAACCTCTGTGTGCCTCCTCGGTGACTCCCTGGGTGTATGAGATGCTGAGATGGTGGAGTTACCTCCCTCCACTCATCACAGACTCAAAAGATTCCATTATTTCGTAGTGAAGATGGTGCCGGAGTGTTGGATTCAGGGCCCTGTGCATACAGTCTATAATAAAGCTGCTCCCCCAATCAGAAAGCATGAGGTGCCTACTATGTGTCACACTCTGTGCTAGGTCCTGCGGATAGAAAAGGTCCAACTTAAAGGATTTTACATTTTGTTGGGGCTGACATCACATCCACATAGAAGTCCATTCAAAATATAGACAGGCTGATGGCCAGTGGCCTGAGCTAAATGAGAAGGAGGAACATTCCTACCAGGGAGGATGGGCTGAGCTCCCCCGGGAGATGGAACAGTATGCGAGGTGCCTCAGGGCCAGTCTGGCCGGCCATCCTGGCCTCAGGGAACTTAGGGGAAGGGGAGAGAGCCCAAGTGTGGAAAGATGGGCTGATCCTCCACATCACAGGAAGCCACGGGAACTTCTTGAGCACAGAGGGCCACGATAGGGCCAAGGACACAGGACTTCTGGATGAGGGGAATCTTTTACAAGATTTGCTAAAGCCCTTTCCTCATCACACCTCCTTGAGGAAGGCAGGGCAGATGGGATTCTCCCCATTGGACATGTCAGAACACTGAGAGGTAGGGCTACTCAGTGGCAGATTGAGGAACGGAACCACCACAGGGGACAGACTTCTGGATCTGGAGGCAGGTGAGACCTGGGTTTTTCTCCAACTAGTTGTGTGACCACGGGAGATTCACTAGTGGGTAAACTGGTTTCCCCACCAGAAACTATAGATCCTGACTTCACTGGGGAGGGAAGGGTTTTAAGAATCCAATGAGACACTGTTCCTAAAGCATTTTGCAATCCATAAAGCCATTATGTAAAGGACAGCTGTTCTTACCATCCTCATTTTAAATAGGGCAACTGAGGCACAGAGAAGTGAAATGAACCTTCCCTGGGCCATGTATCTGGCAAGTATCGGCACTGCGATTTGAACCCAGCTCTCTTGACTTCTTCAAACCTAGGGCTCTTCAATGTGATACAACCCACTCCCAGGACTAGGAGAGGTGGGGACATGGCTCCAATGCTTTCTCCCCATTCTCCCTCTGCCCTTGGCTGCTTCACAGGTGCCAGGAACAAAGCCCAGTGGCTAGGTTTTTTGCCCAGCTAAGCAGCCCTCCTCACTTGGAGGGAGCCAGGCTCACCTGCTTCCCCATTTATTAAGCAATCACAAGTGTTGTTGGTGTTCTGTGCCAGGCTCTGGTGACATGAAATGGGCCCTTCCTATGGAGAAACAGACTTCCCATTCTGGAGATCTGCCCACCTAAGTGCACAAAATATGAGGTAATCTGGGGGATGGGGGAATGGGCCAGGAAAGCTTCAGGTAGAAGGTGATGCCTGAGCTGAGTTTGGAAGGAAACAAGAGATTCTAAGAGGTAAAGGTGAGGAAAGAGGCCATTCAGGCTGGGGGGGCAGGGGACACCGTGTTTTATAAAGACACAGGGATTGCGATGGAGCGTTATATATGAGAAACGCCCCAAAAGCCCAGGATGCCTGGAGCACAGAGTATGGGAAGGGGGCACAGGATCTGTAAGGATGGAAAAGTAAGTTGGCATCCTTCTCACCAGACAGTGATCTCCTGGGGGGCAGGAACCATAACTATTCTAACCTTTGCACAGGGCCATATGCAGTAGGGTCTCAACATTTGTGCCACAATTGTGACCCCAGCCTTCCGAACAGGAGAGCATGCTCACACAGCGAAGTAGGGGTCCTTGGGCCAGAAAGCTGTGGCGAGAAGGTGGGGGAGTCCTTAGTCCGCACTGCGGACCCCGATGCCGCTGAGGTTGACGCGGGAAGGAACCACACACGAGCACTGACTACCACAGCTGATCGCTGCCTTCTCGTTTTATTGAAATTTTCAAGAGCTGCCATTTGGTTTGAATAGCAAAATTCAGAAAAGCTCGCTTTTTTTTTTTCCCTTTTTGACATTTTTATGAAAAAAAAAATTCAATTTTAAACTCCTGTTCTCCCTCTCCCAACACAATATTGTAGACAGAAGCTCTTCACCCAACTACTGTGTAGCATGTGCTTCACCAAAGTGCTTTTTGATATTTCGGCAAGACGTAAACTGCGAGAGCCCAACCCGGAGGTCTCCCCGCCACCCCCAGGAGGCTGCAGGGCCAAGAGGCGGTGCAGACGCCCCTGGGACACGCCTCCCTTCCTGCCGGAGCCCCCACTTCATCAGGCCCACCCCTTCCAACCCCCTAGAGATCCTTCTTTCCTTTCCCTCCCCCTCCCCCTCCCCCTCCCCAACAAACAAAGGCAGCACAATCTATGGAGAGAGGTTACCACATTCACGAGAAAGCTAGTTTGGAGAGATTTCTTAACTCGGACGCTTTCAAGTTCTGTCCACTTGTTACTCCAGAATTCACTCCATCATCACATGCCTTTGCAGTCTCCAGGGCTGTTTGCCCAGAGGGTAGATGGGATCCGAGCTTTCCAATGAGAAGCAAAATTTGTCATTTAAAAAACAAGCACAGAAGTTCCGTATGAAATGAAGCTGGCTCTCAAGGTCGTTCCTTCGGAGGCAGCCAGGTCTGGGCCGCTTCCTAACTGTTCCTATGGCTCTTCTTGAGGCAGCTAGCTGCGTGGCAATGGTGGCTGAAAGCCAAGGTGTGCTTTATGTTTGGGATGAAGTATCCTCTTAAGAGCAGCAAACATGAAGGGTTCCGAATTCTTAGATAGGGCACAGTTATCATTTAGTATTGGCTACAGTAAATTCCACATTTTTATAGCTTTAAATAACCAAAGTTTCTGCCTGTGCCAGTGCTTCTGTTTTCCAAGTGGAGGTGACCAGCATGGGAACAGCTCATCAGACAAATGAGTGTGCTTAGTGACACAGGAAGACCTCAAAGGCTTCTCTATTCTCTGCCTCCGGGGATAAGCATCTGAGCTGGGAAACCTGTAAGGCAGTGTGCTCGGCTTCCTATGCAACACTGGCAGGGAAGAGAAAACCAAAGAGCTAATGGGAAATGGAAGAGACCATCTCCTTCTCCCAGGTCCAACTCCCTTAGCATGGAAGGATGGGAAATACACGCGTACATATATGTATATGTTTCTCCCCCACCCCACCCCCCAAACTTGTTACCAGACTGTTGTCTGGTACTGCAACTCTAGTCTGTGACAGTAGAGGGTGCAGTGGACAGTCTTCCACAAGCCACTGGGGAGAACCAACCATCAGAACTGGCCATTCCTGTGCATTTCCGGGAAGAAGCAAGAGGCGGTCAGCCAGTGCAAACCAGAAAGTAAGTCTATAGCTAGGGACCGTTTCTTGCTTCCCCTTTTGCCTACCTCTCCAAATTACTAATACGGCGCACCCAGGAGGTGAGATGGCACAAAGCCATTGAGACGTCAAGATCTGACTATCCCTTCCAGGCTGGTCAATCTCTCTCATCCTTTATTGGGAATCAGTTCTCAACCTGCTCGCTGACCTTCCCAGCAATTCAATCACACTCTCTTCAGGGCTCTGACACACCACATTTTAGGAAGCCTATCAGTCAGGGCTTATCTGTGCTATATTCCCATCTGATGTTCTTACACGTAGAACATCAGTTCCATTCTGGACAAGGTGCCATTCCATCTCTCTCTCCACGTTTCTTCTCACACAACCAACAATCCCTTTCAAACCACAGTAATTTTGCCCAGCATCTGCACTGACCTCGAGTCCCTTCACCTCAGCTTTCTGCTGCCACCACAACAATGCTAGACATTTCTGGAAAACTCTAAACACAGGGATCACTGCAAACCTAATGAAGAAAGATCCCTGCTACTTTGGCCTCCCCAAATAAGGGTGTTATTTACAGAGGCTCAAAGGCTGAGATTAAACTCTTTACGTGTTTCTGGTTCCCCTCTGCCACTCCCCCTATACTCCTGAGTCTCAGTGTCCTCACTGGCAATGCGGATCTGAACTGGGAGACAACAAAGTCTGCAGCTGGTGCTGTAAGGAAACCTGAAAAGGTAAGGGGGATGACCACCATTTTAAATAGCCTTTTTTAAAGGGAAAATTTTTTTTAAAAAAAACTCTTAATGAGGAATTTTATCTTAATCATTAAAAAGATCCTGAAATATAATCCCTCCTAACCTAGGATTTCCAGGCTTGCTCAGGGCCCAGGGTTAAGTGCATACCAAGAGCCAGTACTGGACAAGTAGCTGGGCCTGGAGCCAGGAAGACCTGAGTTCAAATCCAGCCTCAGATACTCCCTGGGTATATCACTTAGCCCCCGTGTGCCTCACTTTCCTCACTTGTAAAATGGAGAGGTTGGACTCAATGACCTCTAAGGTCTCTTTCAGCTCTAATCTATGACTCTATAACTACACAGGTTCCATTTCCAAGGAAAAGATGCTGAAGTTGAAATTAGTCACTTAGGTCCAGCCCCTCTAAGGAGGCCTCTAAATAGAAGCTCCAGCTTCCAAAGGGCTGAACACAGGGAAGAAACTCTCCCAGTTGTTCTGTCCCCCCCCAAAACTCAGAGGAGCCCCTCCCCCCCAGGTCTCCAGGTCACCCATGAAGCCCTTCCACTCGGACAGCTGATCTGTTCTCAGTGCTCTTCCAAATGGACTACGGTCACTTAAAACCGCCATCCCCTTCCCTACCACCACAGGGACAAGAGTAGAACAAATGCTTTCACAACCACCCCTCAAGGCAGCCTGGGAAAGGGGGAGAGGTCTTATTTCACATGCTCCCTGACCCTTTGGGATCTGGGTACATTAACAGGAATATCTGAGGCCCAGAGCTGAAAATGGGCTGCTATCATCTCTACTGAAGGGAGGGATGGAAGGAGGCGCTACTGTATTTTCTGAATGGGCAACCTGCTCTCGGAGGACTGGTGCCCTTCACTCAGCCAAGACGGGGAGACGGTTTTCCCCAAATAAACAGGGCAAGAAACACCAGAGTAAATTATGGAGGGAAGAGAAACTCTTCAGAGTTTTTAAAAATGACCCTAATCTGGCTCGTCAAGAAATCAAGGGCTTCTAGAAAAGTGGCTCTTCTCATCAACAGCTTGGGCATTCGAACGTGATCCCACCTATGCCAAAGTGGTCATCTGTTCTTACTAGCTGCCCTCCTGCTGAGGCACCCAAATGTGGGAGCAAGTGCTGGGTCTCAGAGGGAAGGGAGGTTTGGCCAGCCTCTTCCCTTGACCACCACAGCTAGTGTGTGGTTAAGTTTCTCATGAGTAGTAGTGACAAAGACCCCCTTTAGTAAGGAGGAGGGACAACCAAGGAAACATAGGTGATGGGAACACGTGTAGCAGCCTCACAAGCAGGGCCTGAGCCACCCTGCCAGACAGTAGTGGATGGGGAGGTGAGTGTGCCCCTCCCCTCACATTGAGGGTACTCTTAAAGGGCCTGCAGGCAAAACTGCACAAGGAGGGGCCACCATTAACAATAAGAACAAGCCCTGGAAATAAATCTTTGGCCATCACCCACCCTGCTGTGTAAAGTCCCTAGTGAGAAAAGCCTTTACAGAGAAGAAAGCTAGCAGAGGTGAAGACAGTACCGAATGCTAACAGAGGTAAGCATTACAGAAATCACAGTGTGCAGTTCAACTTCTGAGTTAAAAGCATCCACACAGGAATTCCCTAGGCCTGAGCTGCTGGTTGCAAACACAACGTGCCACGTGCCACCTGCCACCCCACTGCCTTGGTAACACTATCTCAAAAACCAAGGGAGCCAAGGAGTGGCAGAAGGAGACGGGGCCGGGGGACACTGGAGAAGGAGATGGCAAACCGACACCTCTGTTATTTTACTTTCCAAACAACGAGCCTGAAAGTGACTATAAACAGATGCTTAAGAGCTCCATCACAGGGCCCGAGGACCCGAGACCATGGCGATGATAGCTTTTGAAAGGAGAATTCATGACTGACTGCTTCCTGCTCAACAGTCCGTGTGAGCCAGCGGTTCGGTCCGTGCTCTCTGAACCCACATCTGAGGACGGAGTTCTTTGTAGAGAGAAAAGGGGGTTGGCATGAAGTTTCAACAGGCCATGGTTAAAAATCCCCCCGTGGGGTGCCCACAGCCCACCTCTCCTCCCCACTCTCCCCTTTCCCTCCTCCATGGATACGGTAAGGAGTTCTTCAGGTTTTCCTTGAATCTGATGAGTATGCTGCAGGATGGGAAGGGCATTCCCTAAACACTAATCCTGGAAAAAGATGCTTAACACATACAAACATCCTCTACAGAAGGAAAAGGAGAGACAGAGAGACCGCAATCCTCTCACACAGAAACAAACAAAAAAAGGAAAAAAAGAGCCATTATGTTCAAAAAAGAAAAAGGAAAAAGAAATCCAAAGTGTCCAAATGCAGGCTAGCAGAACAAAAGAGACACACAGAAGCTTGTAGATAAGACTGCCCAAGTTAGAGCGACTCGATTCACAGGTCGAGTTTGCCCCCCTTCCTTTCCCCTCCCCTGAGCACCCCCCACCCCCTCCAGCCCCCGCCTCTTTGTGCAGTCTTGTCCCTGGAAAAAGGGCCCCACAAGTCCTCCTGAAAGGTTTCGGGAAGATTCAGTACTTCACTCCTGGAATAAACTCCTTGGCATCGGGATTCAGGTTACTTTTGCTCTGAAATGAGGAGCCAAAAGAAGATGGTAAGTACCAGAAGTCAGAGGTTTTAACCTACTCCTAGCACCAATGTCTCTTGCAGCTTCAGGTAAAGCCCTTGTTTTCTCTTACTCCCAGTGGGACCTGAGTGACTAGAGCACACCATAGCTTGCTTGTGGCTAACTGGACTCAGAGCTCAGGAGCACGAGTGGGAGGCCAGGCTCTTTCTCCCCAACCCTTCAGCCAGCCTTCCCCCCTTGGCAAATCTGCTCCACAATGCCTTCTAAAGTCTTACTCTAAGGGTCCTAAGTCTGACAGCAAGAGCTAAGTTTAAAGCCAATGCAAGATAAGCTTGAGGTTCTTTTTTTATTCAGACATTAAACCAGCTTGGTTACTCAGCACACATTCTTTCCCCTTAATTTCTGATTTGAGAAGGCTGTCTGCTAGCAAGTGAACAAATACTGGAACCCTTCACAAACCTGCTGGCCAACCTGCTGCACCACGAGAAATACAATGCACCAACACTTAAATAAAACTCATTCCTAAGCTAGAATGTGGAATATGCTCGGGCTCCTAAGTTCAACGCTGAACCCTTCTCCAAGCCCCCAGGCCAATTCTGACAAGACTCAGAACCCTATTGAGGAGACGGGCTCTGGGGACAGTGGGAAGGGAGGACGGCTGAGGAGGAAGGCAGTCTACACAGCACTCTTCCCGGACTTGGCTTTCACCCTCTGCCCACAATGGCAGCCTCCTTTCTCAAGTCATAAAACAAGAGAGCTCACCATGGAGGGTCTAGAGAAAACTTGGAGGTGCTCTCACAAACCAGTGCTCCCCTGAGGGGACCCTTACCAAGATATCTTCTGAACTGTGACTGTCACTGACAGAAAGTCCGTTGAGCTGCTGCTGGAGCTGCCCGATGCCTTGAGGCAGGTCTCGAGAGGGAATGAACCAGTCCTGGTCTTCTTCATCCAGCATCTCCTGGAAGCATCGGTCCAAGAATTCTTGTTCCTCAAGTTCTTCCTCCACCTAGCAGGAAGGGAGGGTGGAAAAGTGACCAGAGGCCTTCTATGGACTGATGCAGAGGCAGGGAAGCAGAATCAGGGAAACAACACGCACAAGGACCACAGAACGGTAAAGAGGAGCGCCAAAGCGACACGAAGTGCGGTTACTGGTGGAGCCATGTTTGGTTGTACTGAATCTGTTTATCTTTTTAATCTTTGTTACATGAGGAGGCTTGTTGAGTGGTGGGTAAAGAAATATACGTGAAAAGGGCAACAATTTTAAAAAATGCTGCCAGTCAGGCATGCAGAAAGACAAGATGACTGGGACTGTCAACTCTGCAAATGGAGATAGAAGCTTCTGCTCCTAAGGATACAAGAGTCCCTTCATAATGCGACACTGGGAACAATCCAGACTGTTGGCCTCACAGCTCTGACTCTTCTTCCCAAAGCTGCTTCACAGACACTCTGGGGGGGGGATGCCTTCGACATTTTATAATGGGGAGGAACAGAGAGGGGCCAACTGGTCTGCCCAATGCCACCTCACCTGGCAAACAGCCTGACAACTTCGTGCACTCCAAACCCTTTGATTAAAAGCTCATGGTCAACGCTTGGCCTTTTACTGAAAAGAACATATGTTTTTCATTTGTCAAAACAGGAAGAAGCCCACGAATGCTTAAAACAAATCTTCATTTCTATTTCCTTAAGTATTTCTCTAAAAAGAAACAAGAGCCCTTTTAATTTGGCAACACGTATAAAACTGTATAAAACTATTTCAAAGATCACTTATTTCAAAACTGATTAAGTATCACATCTGCAGGCTATATAGACCCTTTGCTTCCTATGGTTCTGCCTCCAGCTGTCTGACTTGCAGACACTTTATAACATCCTAGGATGAAGAGAAGACTAAAAATTCAGAAAATTAAAACTTAATCTAACCATATTATTCCTTTAAATGCTGAGTACATGACATACAATTGACCTTTGAAACTATTCATTATTTTGTTTTAAGTGAGTTTTTAATTGATATCTTTGGTTTACTATTTTGCATCACCATAATTTCATCTAGCTCTCCCCCGCCCAAAGGCCATTCTATATAAAAATAGTATTTTTAAAGACTAAAAAAGATAAAGAGAAAAAAAAAACATCGTTGATCAATACATAAAAAAATCTGAAAATATGTGCAATGTATAACATTTGTAGATTTCTTCCCTATACAAGAGAAGTGTGGGGCATATCTGCTTATTTCTTTTTTTTCAAGTCACACCCATTCTGTATAATTTTGCAATATTTGTTTTTATGTTTTCAGTGGGGTTTTTTTCCATTTACAAGTAAGCACTGTGTATACTGTTTTCTTGTCTTTGCTTATTTCATTCTGCTTAATTTATATAGATCTTTCCATGCTTTTCTGTATTCATCACATTCATTTCTTACGGTAGGTAATACTCCACATTATACTCCATTATATTCACATACTACAATTTGTTGGGCCATCACCCAATTAATGGGCATGTACTTTGTTTCCAACTCTTTGCTACAACAAAAGGGGCTACTTGAGGTGTTTTGGCGTAAATGGAGATTTTCTTCTTATCAATCACCTCCTTGGGGTATAAGGCTAATAGATGAATCAATGGGTCAAGCAGTATTTTAGTCATTTCACTTAATAATTCCAAATAGCTTTCCAAAGCTATTCTGATCCACAACTCCACCAACAATGCACCAGTGTGCCTCTCTTCCTCCAACTTCTCCAACATTAACTCTTATCATCTTTTGTTGTCTGCCAATTTGCAGGATGTGATGTAAAACCTTAGTTTTTTTATTTTTATTTCTCTTATAAATGAATTGGAAAATTCTTTCATATACTGTTAACATTCTGGAATTCTTCTTTTGAGAACTATTTGTTTATATCCTTTGACTCACTTTTTGGTCATATATATGTATTTGTATGTATGTAAGAGAGAGAGAGAGGGAAGAGTTTTAATCTTGGATATTAAACCCCTTATCAGAGAAATTTGATCTAAAGACTTTTTAGATTCATTCAACCGGTCCTTCTTATCCTAAGTACACCGATTTTGCTTGGGTAGAAGCTTTTCATTTTCATGTAATCAAGTTATCTATTTTATCTTTTCGAATAGCCTCTACCTCTTGTTTGGTTAAGAATACATCACTCAGGGACAGCTAGGTGGTGCAATGGATAGAGCACCAGCCCTGGAGTCAGGAGGACCACTGTAAACCTGAGCAAGTCACTTAATCCCGATTGCCTCGCCCCCCCCGCAAAAAAAGAAATACATGTATTCACAGCTGTGACAGGTATATAATGGGCTTCTCTTCTAATTTTTAAAAAAGTATGATCTTCCAGGTCACATACCCATTTAGAATACATTGTGAAGTATGGTGTAAGTGAGATACTGTTTTAAGCCTATTTTCTGCCAGATAGATTTCCAGTTTTCTCAATTGTTTTTATCAAATAGGGAGCTCTTTCCTGACTGGTTTATTCAACGCTGGGTTACTGGGTTTCACTGTTTCTAATTTTCCCTTGCCCAGTCTGTTCCATTGATCTATCTATTTTTTAAACAATTCCAGATGGTTTTCATGACCACTTCTTTTTTTTTCTTTCAATTTAAAAAAATTTTATGTAATTTATTTTAGTTATCAACATTTACTTCCACAAGATTTTGAGTTCCAAATTTTCTCCCCTCTCATCCTTCCCCCACCCCAAGACAGCGAGCATTCTGAATACCCCTTCCCCTAATCTGCCCTCCCTTCTATCACCCCCCTACCTTCTCTTATCCCCTTCCCCTTCAATTTTCCTGTAGGGCAGGATAGATTTCTATATCCCATTGCCTGTATATCTTATTTCCCAGTTGCACGTAAAAACAATTTTTAACATTTGTTTTTAAAACTTTGGGTTCCCAATTTTCTCCCTTCCTCCCTCCCCGTCCACCCTCATTGAGAAGGCAAGCAACTCAAAAAATTAACTATATTTCCCTTCATCCTATTCCAACCCCACCTCTGTTTATTCTCTTCTCTCTTTTGACCCTGTCCCTCCTCAGAAGTGTTAGCTTCTGATTACCCCTGCCCCAGTCTACCCTCCCCTCTATCATCTCCCTGCTCTCTTATCTCCTTATCCCCTATTTTTCTGTGTGGTAAGATAGATTTCCACACCCAAATGAGTATGTATGTTATTCCCTCCTTAAGCCAAATCCAAAGAGAATAAGATTCACTCATTCCCTCTCACTTTCCCTCACTTCCCCTCCACTGTAAAAGCCTTTTCTTGTCTGTTTTATGTGAGATAATTTGCTCCATTCTACCTCTCCTTTTCTCCTCCCAGTATAAACCTCTCACCCCTTCATTTTATTCTCCAGATATCACCCCTTCATCTTCAACTCACCCTATGCTCTCTATTTATCCATACATATAATTTTTTCCCCCTCCAACTACCCTAATACTGACAAAGGTCTCATGAGTTACAAATACCAGCTTTCCATGTAGGAATGTAAACAGTTCAACCTTAATAAGTCCCTCATGATTTCTCTTTCCTGTTTACCTTTTCATGCTTCTCTTGAGTCTTGTATTTGAAATTTTCTATTTAGCTCTGGTCTTTTCATCAAGAATGCTTGAAAGTCCTCTATTTCACTGAATATTCATTTTTTCCCCTGAAGGATTATACTCAGTTTTGCTGGGTAGGTGATTCTTGGCTGTAATCCTTTCTCCTTTGACCTCCAGAATATTATATTCTAAGCTCTCTGGTCCCTTAATGTAGAAGCAGCTAAATCTTGTGTTATCCTGATTGTGTTTCCACAATACTTGAATTGTTTCTTTCTGGCTGCTTGCAATATTTTCTCCTTGACCTGAGAATCTGGAATTCTGGCTACAATATTCCTAGAAGTTTTCCTTTCAGGATCTCTTTGAGGAGGTTATCAGTAGATTCTTTCCATTTCTATATTACTCCCTGGTTCTAGAATATCAGAGAAGTTTTCTTTGATAATTTCTTGAAAGATGATGTCTAGGCTCTTTTTTTGATCATGGCTTTCAGATAGTCCAATAATTTTTAAATTCTCTCTCCTGGATCTATTTTCTAGGTCAGTTGTTTTTCCAATGAGATACTTCACATTGTCTTCTATTTTTTCATTCTTTTGGTTTTGTTTTACAATGTCTTGATTTCTCATCAAGTCACTAGCTTCCATTTGCTCCATTCTAATTTTTAAGAAGTATTTTCTTCAGTAAGCTTCTGGAGTTCCTTTTCCATCTGGCCAATTCTGCTTTTTAAGACATTCTACTCCTCACTGGCTTTTTGGACCTCTTTTGCTATTTGGGTTAGGCTATTTTTTAAGGTGTTATTTTCTTCAGGATTTTTTTGGGTCTCCTTTAGCAAGCTGTTGATTTGTTTTTCATGATTATCTTGCATCACTCTCATTTCTCTTCCCAGTTTTTCCTCTACTTCTCTTACCTGCTTCTCAAAATCCTTTTTGAGCTCTTCCAAGGCCTGGGACTGATTCATATTTTTCTTGGAGGCTCTGGATTTAGGAGCTTTGGCTATGTTGTCTTCTTCTGGCTGTATGTTCTGATCTTCTTTGTCACCAAAGTTAAGATTCTATGGTTTGACTTTTTTTGTGCAATTTGTTCATGATCCCAGCCAATTACTTGAGTTATAAACTCTTTATTATGGTAGGGGTCTGCTTCCAATGTGGAGAATGTACTGTCCCAAGCTTCAGGGGTTTTGTGCAGCTGTTTTCAGAGATACTTCTAGGGACTTCTAAATTTTCAGTTCTCCCAAGGTGGTATGATCAAGGGCGAGGTGTTGACTCCTTTCCTGGCCTGTGCTCTGGTCTGTGAATGACCACAAGCACTCTTCTCTGCCTTGAAACTGTGAGGAGGATTCCCTCTCCACTGCTACCACAAGAGCCACTACAAGCGCCACCATGCCAGCGCTCCTCCTCACCCCAGGACCACCACCCAGGACTGTGACTCAGATCCAAGCATGGGCAAAGCAAGAGATTCTTGCCTCAGCACCAGCAAAGAGATCCC